GACAAAAAAGGCTCTTGAAGTTTGTTCTGGAGATTACGTCTTGCTGACAGTTGTTTATGTTCAGCTTCAAGTCTACTCTGCTGACTTGTTTTCAGATGGAGAGTCCAGATGGTTGTGTCATCCCTGTTCGCGGATGACGAACGTTTCAGACACATCTGACGCTGTTGCGTTCGTCTTTCTTCCTATCGAAATTGACTATCTAACTGTGTAACATATCTATCGTTTTGTCTGTTTTTGCATTAGTGCTGTATAATTTTGATCAAAGCAATGTACGAATAATATAATTTAAAAAAGTTTTGCTTTAAATGTTAACATATATGAAGAAATCTACCTTTGAGCAATTATTTTCATTGTGATGTTGAAAGCTGATTTTCATTGTCATTTTCAAGGCCATGTTGTATATACATATTGCTATATCTAACTGCTTAGATCTGGTTACATTTTAGTTTACGGTGCTATGTTTTAAAACTTCACAGACGAAACTCCATAGACTGCGGTTTTACTTTATGCCTAATCACATTTTCTAAGCGTTGCTTCACAAGGGCTTCGTTTTGATTTTGACGTGGTCATCCCTTCAGAATAAGTTTCGTGAACATGAATATTATGTTATTTTCCCAACTTTTGTGCCTGCCAACGTGAGGCAGCAAAAACAGTTGTTCGAAGTAAAATCAAGTTGAAGAGACCGCAAATGGCGAACTTGAGTGCTAAAATAGCGGTTTGAGAACGTAATCGTGAAGACTGTCGGCAGTGGAGGTCCAGAAGACAGAGCGTGGTTGCGAAATCTTGGCGAGGCTATGATCCATCAGGGCTTGAAATAGGCTGATAATTGTGTTAATAACAGTGCGCATCTGTGAATGTGACAATAATAAGTTTTATTGCTGTCTTATGTTTCAATTGTTTTTCCTTTAATTATGCTTGATAATGATTTTTCCATATGGAAGTGTATGATAAGAAATATATAACGTCTTAAAAATGATCGATTTATCGTTTACTTTTCTAAGGCTGTCAAAATCAGGCTTTGTATCTAATGTTCCTGTTGTTTTTACACTAGTTAGAGTTTCTCTTTCATCAGCATCGAAGTTTCTCTGTCTAGCGATTTGTCTGTTCAACTTTGTGTTGCTTATTCCAGGCGATGATACCACTGTATGTTTTACCATTTTTTTGCTTACAGCTCTTGGAGTTAGCTTCAGCGGTTCGAGAGATGTACCTTCAATCGATGTTAGCCAGGCCGAATTCCGCACTACCGTTACCTTCATCAGTTACGAAGAAAACAGCAGTAGTAGTCGACTTCGAAGGTGGTGCCATGTAGCAATATATGTATATACATATAAATATTCGAATTAGCTTTCGCTGTAATTAGCAAGTAAATTTTTATGCATGATATGTGTGTCAATTTTTAAGTTTGTTGGTTCAGTTTTCGAGCCCAGTTGTAGGTCGAACTATAATATACTGCGGTATGTTATATTTACTGACAAGCGAATGCATCTTCGGGTTGCGTACGTACAAATATGTGTACACGACGCTCTGTGAGCTGAGACTGCTATTGTGTTTGCATTGTACTTATGATTTTAGAGTTCAGCTTGTTCTAAATACGGCAGCGAATACGGTGTACAGTTAAACCCACAGTCCAGGGATCGTGGGCTTGTGTCCTGATCAGGTCACTTGAATGTCGTCCTTCTCAGACAGAT